TAGAATTCTACATCCTCACTTCATTTCAAAATCAGCTATTGAATTGCCGTTCATTGAATCAATTATGATAGCACAATTGACCGTTCAAAAAGAGCTTGATTGACAGGCAATTTGACCAATCATATCGCCAAATCTTGCCCGACAAACAAATCAGACAGGAGAGTAGATTAACTTTGGTAGACTTAAACTTGAAAAATGTTGTGTATTGACGCCTTTGCAAGGTTGAAATAAAATACATTCCGATATTCATTCATGTTTATTTCGTGCATTTAAGTAAATATGAAATAATGATTGGTTCATGTGCCGCTTGAACTGAGGCAATAGAGTGATCTGTCACGACACATTAAAGAGCCACAAAATTGTATTTATTGTTTGAATTTCTTTTAAAAATATATATTGTCAGTTTCCTCTTTGTTCCGCAATGTATTTTTCACTGCGTGAGAACATGTGTGGTGTGAGAGCGGCTTGTCGGACATAGCAACTGTAACTAAGGATGGTGGGTTTTTGCGAATGGTCAATTGCCTGCTTTTAAATAGTAAAAAGCAATACGCCATTATATACAATCTTCTGCCAAATAACACTAGAGCATTTCTATGAATTTAATTTGATTAATTATCCCGTCTTCCTCTCCCCTCACCTCCATTTATTTCCCCCTCTCTCTCCAGGTCTTTTGTGAACTACTTAACACACTGTTTGCTAATACGGCCTTTTATAGCAATTAAATGCCGATTTGGTGGTGTTGGAGTAATTGTCACCCCAGGCTATCTGTGCTGGCCTAGAACAAATGTGTGTGTGTATGTTTGTGTGTGCGTAATGTATAATAAATGATTCCTCTCACACACAGGGGGTTTATGTGCAGCTCAGGGGGTGAAAAGACTCATGCAGGTGTTGAATCTGAGTCAATGTTTAGTGCCGTCTCTCTTCATCCGTCTTCCTACTGTAATGCATGTGTAGTTTTCATAGTGCAGCTTTAGGGATGAGTGTTTTGGCAAAAAGCTCAGTATTGATTCAGTCCAGCAAAACCCCTACTGCAGGATTAAATCAATCCTGATATACTGAGAATGTATACTGAGATACGTATTATTACATTGCATTTCTGATTGCTTTCTGATTGGTCATTCATGGTATTCTGTGTAATGTGATATTTCTTTAATGTCTGCCCACATAATGCCATAATGGATCAATCAGAATCAAGTATATACCAACACTTCAATTGACAAATATATATGTAAGTAAGAAATAAAAGGGTGTTCCAAAAGACTTTGGTGTTTACTTTGTAGTAGGGCTGCCCTCGACTAAAGATTTTCTGGTCAACTAGCAGTCGTTCGTTTTAAGTGATTAGTCGATTAATCGCATGTTTATGTTAATAAACCATATAATTCATATTAATGAGCCTTTAATTGCCTACACAGTGCACCGGCTGAAGTAATGATTATGAATGCTTCAGGAAAAAACAGCAAGAAGTCTGCCTTAACATTATAATAATTAATTGATAAACTAGTGTTTTCTGTATTTTTGGCTACAATTACGAAGTCGACAACACTGACTCGTTATCTCCACAGTGAACGTGCATGTTTCATACGGATTACATAATCTAAAAATATTTGTTTTCCATTTGAATTGGTTCATTTAAAAGTAGACATTTTCTATAGATATATTTTTCATGTCTGTGAGGCAAGCACAGAGTTTTGGTTAATTTTTGTTTTTTAACATGCTCAAGTTCACAGAGACCTAGATGGCAGATAGCACACCCTCTTTGCTTTCATTATTTTACAAAAGCACAAAGTTTTGTTGTTATTGTGAGTGCACACAAATAAAAGTAGAATTTTCACAGATTTGAAAGATGTATTACTCTTATCTGTACAAGTAAAAATGACAGAGTATTTTAAGTTAAATGCAAATGATCGCACTGATGCCACCAGTGGTTAGTCACTATTAGGGGGAAGCCCTACTTTGTAGTTATTTAAGTAAGGAGGCAGCATGATTGTTTTATATTACATTGACACAACAGTTCAATAATTAGTTAATTAAGTTAATAAATAAAAATAATAATTAATAATAAAGTTAATATTGAGTAATTTGCATTTTAGACACAATCCTGTTCCTTTGTCTGGTTTTACTCTTATAATGGAAATGGTTATGTTTAGCTACTGTACATCAGGGCTGTTGTGCATCTTTGAGCCACACTCATGTGCTGAATGATTCATTGTTTTTGAACAGATCGTTTGAGTGAATTATTCAGGGACTTATTCATGAAGACAGAACTTGAAGGTCCTGAATGAATCTGCATTTTTAACATATATCGGTTGAATGAACGATTCAATGACTTACTCATGAAGTTGGTCACTTACAGTTATTACCGAATGCATCAGCATTTGTGAACAAATTGGTTACATGATTTCAATGACTCGCTCAAAGTTGGTCACTTACAGTATTTTGAATCAGCTGAATAAGTTCAATGACTCACTCATAATGATAGACACTTGTTGCCACCTACTGGCATAATAATGCAACTTGTAGAACGTGTCACTGAAAAATGGCAAGCACTAATGCACTGATTGTGTAGTACTGGCCTCTCTCTCTCCACTATAAGATATTCCTTCACCATTCTCAGTGGGCAACATGGAGGATAAAACAATTACGCTTTAACAATTCTTTGAATTAATTCAGCCGGGTCAATATAGATCATGGACCTCTGGGAGTTCAGGCCAGATGTTTTCAGCCTGTACACAGGAGAAGTACACAGCGCTCGCTCCGACAACTGTCACGGAATGTGATTTGTGACGAATACCGGAATCATCCGAGTGTGTGCATCCCTCACTTTTATAATGTCAGAGAATCGGGGGAATTTACTCATGTTATTTTGGAGAACTGCCACAGGGTTGACAGACTGTCAGGATTTCGACAGATCTCCTCTATCTGATATTACAATCCATCTCCCTCCGTCCTCTGCTTCCTGCCTTTCCAGCCATCTCGTGAGCGCTGACACTCCTATCACATTGGTAAATACTACTTTAATTGATACTCAGGTTGTTTTAGAATTAATGAGCTGGCACCCATGTGCTGATGTGAGCGAAAAGAACATCTCTCTTTGAATTGCTTTGTAGCCTTTATTGCTCTCCAGAAATCATGTTAGCCAAACCAATCTCATTTAAATCTTCCATTCCCTAATTAACCCTCAACTCCTTCTCATGCTGCTCGCAACTGCACTTTTTGTAGATTTTTAGATTAACTGTTAGATATTTGTGTCTCTGTGTAGAGTATATTGGATTTTTATTTTGATCAATCAGAAAACAGTTAAACTGAGAACAAAATCATCTTCATTATGTAAATGCCAAGTATTACATGAACAGATCAGATAGGACACAAAGTGGCGAATTGACTAAACAGCCTCTTCTGCATAAAATTTCAGAGCAAACACCTGCATCTTATTCATTAACCACCTGCAATCCAGTTTAACCAGACACAGTCTGCTTTGGTTTACTGCTGCTTATGTATATGAATTAAGTCATTGGATGAATTCCAATTGCCATTTTTTCACTCTTGAAGGGAAGGGGATATTTTTAAAAGGGCCATTCTCTGGCCAAATTTGTCTGTTTCCGGTTATGATTGAATAGCTACTTGAACAGAACTACTTGAATGGAGAAAGGCTCACCAACCCAGTATTTATTTTATTAAAAGTATGGTAAAAACAGTAATATTGTGAAATATTATTACAATTTAAAATATCTGCTTTCTATTTTAATGTGTTTTAAAATGCTGATTTGGATTTCTTATTATGAATATTAAAAACAGTTTTGCTGCTTAATGTTTTTGTGGAAATGGCTCAAATTTTGTATGGGACTGAATGTGAAATGTCAGAAGAACAGCATTTGTTTGAAATGGAAAAAAATCTCACAACAGAGGCATTATAAAATAGGCTGCTTTTGCTCAAATCATGCAAAAAAGCTATTTTTAAGCTAGTTCAGTTAATGTGCATTCAACATAAAATTTCAGAGCAAACACCTGCATCTTATTCATTAACCACCCGCAATCCAGTTTAACCAGACACAGTCTGCTTTGGTTTACTGCTGCTTATGTATATGAATTAAGTCATTGGATGAATTCCAATTGCCATTTTTTCACTCTTGAAGGGAAGGGGATATTTTTAAAAGGGCCATTCTCTGGCCAAATTTGTCCGTTTCCGGTTATGATTGAATAGCTACTTGAACAGAACTACTTGAATGGAGAAAGGCTCACCAACCCAGTATTTATTTTATTAAAAGTATGGTAAAAACAGTAATATTGTGAAATATTATTACAATTTAAAATATCTGTTTTCTATTTTAATGTGTTTTAAAATGCTGATTTGGATTTCTTATTATGAATATTAAAAACAGTTTTGCTGCTTAATGTTTTTGTGGAAATGGCTCAAATTTTTTATGGGACTGAATGTGAAATGTCAGAAGAACAGCATTTGTTTGAAATGGAAAAAAATCTCACAACAGAGGCATTATAAAATAGGCTGCTTTTGCTCAAATCATGCAAAAAACTATTTTTAAGCTAGTTCAGTTAATGTGCATTCAATAGTAGAAAATCTGCTGAAGCATCTATTTAAATGGCTATTGGCTCTCTTATTTGTAAGGCTGGACTACTATCAATTCTTCTGTCAAAAATCTGATTAGCTGTTTTAACAGTAATGTGCAATTCATAGTGAATGTTAATGTATTCATCCAAAGTGAAGCAAGTCTTTTCATAGAAGCAGCCTTTTATTCTTCGACCCAAGACATCTCTTTTGAATTTGAAAAAAAGTCCATTAATAACATTGCTTTTCTAAATGCATATGTGTGTTTCTGTATTTAAGAGTGTGTAGCAGCTGTAAGCAAATAGATATGACCCAAACACCACATGATGTTCAGAATAAACCCACAGTGATAAAACCGCTTCACAGTATAAGCAACCTGAATGATCCAGGGTCACCAAGATACACTACATAATGCAAGGTCATTTGTTTCCAACAGGGTCAAGTTGAAGGATGGTGTGGCATTTTTGGGAGCGAGGGCCAGCAACCCTGTTCAGTGGACAGTTAGTCAAGACGTCAGGAGCGAGGGACACAGAGTGGTCACTCTGCACTGTCGTAGGAAGGAAGCCAACTTCGGAAAAAGGTCAGTAACTGTTCAATCTTTCCGTTCTATTAACGCTTTTATTAACAAAGGGGAATTCTGAATCTAGAGACTACTGGTATCAAAGGCGCTATCGTCAGAAGGCTGCTGGTTACTTGAATGACCCAGAAGTTCAAAGTTTAAGATCGAAGCTTAAGGCAAAAACACTGCAAACCAAAAAGTGTTTTCTTCCCTTGCTCACAATTCTGTTCTCTTTGTAAAGTTTCGGCCAACAAAGATCCAAACGCATGCACATATACAGTGACCTGCACCATACAGCCCTTTGGCCTTTAGCCCTCAAATATAAGCATCTCTGCCTAATGACTATTCTTCTAAACTCTTCTGCTTGTTTCATATACAGGCCCTCTGGTACTGACAGCATGTTTTTTTCAGAGTACTGCATTATATTATGAAGTGCTAGGAAGTTACTTCACTACATTTCTCAGAAGCAATACAGTACTTCAAATGGTTTCAAACATGCAACTTTTCCTGTAACAAGCTACCTTAACTTTAGAGCTACTTTAAGCTACTAGTAGCTTTGTAGTTACTTCTTGGTGCATTTTTTTTTTGTCATTTGTATTCATGTGATTAATTTGAGTAATTTATTGGTACTGAAATGCTGTTCGTACCTTTGACTTTGTTATGTAAATTAGGGTGTTTCATCAGTTGTATTTAGTATAAATGTATCTGCTTAAAAAGAGAGCTCACCCACAATTAAAAATTCTGTCATCAATTACTCACCCTCATGTTGTTCCAAACCCACAGGATTTTTGTTCAGCTTTGTAAGCAACACATTGTGATGAACAGATTAACATTGATTAACCAGTGCTTAATTTGTGAATGAATATTTCCCGGAACAAAATCAGCAGTTAAAAGCCATACATACATCTTAAATTTTCCCGGAACATACAGTGACGTCACTAAACAGTGATAGTTCAACTATAAGAACATCAGTAAAATAAATAAAAAGAACATCATTCACAAGTTTCTGAACGAACTTGTGTATTATTCCTTAACATATATACACGGCCTATGATTTTTTATATGTGTAGCTGATATGATTATTATAAAACGCCACTGCTGTGGAAAGTAATGGAAAGTAAACAAATTAAATCACTTGCATTGTCTAATCTTCAAGAAGAGCCCACAGTGCATTGAAACACTTCTTGTCATCCTCCTCCCTACTGCGGACTTTGCTGCGTGTCTCAGTCGCATATCAGTGCCCTTTAGCAATTCAAGATCTAACGTACGTTTCTGGTTTAAATTTGCACAGGGGTGGTGTTACGGGGCTGACAAGACGTGAGACGTGCGGCTCCATATGCAAGCTTTATTAACATCAGAGGAGGTCAGAAACACAGGCAGGGTCGAACAGTGGCAAACAGGTATATGGCGGGCAAGACACAAGAATAGTCCTAGGGCTAGCGTAGGTCAACGATTGGCGAACAGGATCACAAGGGCGAGACTAAAGGGATAACTCTAGGAAAACAGGCACAGATCAGAAACCGAGAAAACAGACAAGGCAAGACTAGGACGCTAAAGAGGGCTCTGTAGAGTAGCTATCACTGCTGGCGATAAGCGCATACAATACTCGGCAGAGAATGGTTGTTTGAGTGAGTGTATTTATAGTGAATGTGTGATTGATGACAGCTGTGTGCAATCAGTGCTGTGTGCAATAAGGGCTGTGTGCAATCAGTGCAGTGGCTGATGGGATATGTAGTCCGGGATGACATGCAACAGTTTGTGTTGTGCGAGAGTCACTGTAATGGAAGGGTGACCTCTGGTGGTGATTGAACGGAAGTCCATGGACAGGATTCATGACAG